ACGCAGATCCTCCCCGTCGATGAATACCTTCAATTGCAGACCTGCCTGCCTCCGACAGCAGGGTATTGGCCCACCGCGGCACTGACCGCCAGGAGGAGGAGGCGGACCCGTCGAGCTGGCAGCCGCTGGACCCGGCGCGGACCTTCGGGCACTACCCCCACTTCGGCCTCCCAGGCAGCAGGGGGGCGGCCCCACCGCGCCGCGCCGGCGGTCCCCCCTTCGGGGGGCTTCCCCGTGGGCACCCGCGCGCTCGCGGGTCTGTCGTGAGCCTGCTGGGCAGTCTGGGGCCATGGGGAGGAGACAGAGGGTGAGGGTGATGAGGGGGGGGGGGAAAACGAGGAACAGGGAAGAGGGAAGTTTGAGGAGAGATGAGGGAGGAGGATGAGGAGGCGGGGAGAGGGGAAGAGGAGGAGGAGGAGCAGGAGGAGGAGGAGGAGGACGAGGAGGAGGACGAGGAGGAGGGAGGGATGATGACGTCGGAGGAGGGGGCCGTGGACTTGAGGCGAGGAGGAGGAGGACCAGTGTAACCCCAAGACGCATCAGCGATGTTGTAACGACTCTCCCTCCAAGTTCCCTTTTCGTGGGTCTCGCCAAGACTTGTGTTCATGCCGGGAAGTGTCAAATTAGACAATAATCGTCTGAGAAATGTCGATCGTGCCAGAACACCATTCCTGGGTCTTCAACACGGCGTGTCGATATGACTGCTGCGCCCAGGCAATCCTAAATCGTGCCAGAACATTGTTCCTGTGGCTTCAACAACACCACGATTCAACGTGACTGTTGCGTCCTGGCACTCCGAAATCGTGCCAGGACACCATACCCTGGATTCCACTCATGCAAATCCTTGAGCCGTCGCAAACGTCTAAGACGGAGGTGCGCGGCGCTGAAGCGAGACCCTCATCTTGAAAAGAAATGGTCCTCTCATTGTTGAATATGCTGCAAACTGTTCAGACGAAAGTGCGCGGCGCTAAGCGAGAGCTATATTTTGAAAAGGCCCCGTCCTCCAATTTTGAAACTGTCGCAAGCTTTTCAGACGAATGTACGCGGCGCTACGTTGAGAACCACATTTTGAAAAGGGCCCGCCCTCCACGCTTGACGCGATTGCAATTTTTCAAGACGAATGTTCGCGGCGTCATGGCGATAGCCACATTTTGAAAAGGACCCAGCCTACATTTTTGACGTTGCTGCCTACTTTGAAGATGAATGCACGCGGCGCTAAGGCGAGAGCACCGTATTCAAAACGATCTGCCATCGATATTTGAAGTTGTTGGACGCTGTACAGGAGAACGTGGGCGGAGCTACGGCGAGAACCACATTTTTAATATCACCCGCCTTCGTTGCAAATTTCAAGCCTCAGGATCATACATGGTGGGGTGCAACAGGGAGGAGTTAGTAATATGGATACGGCATGTAGGAGGAGGAAAAGGAGAAGGAGGAGGAGGAGGAGGAGAAGTAAAAGGGATGAGAAGAAGGGCAGGGTGGGGATGGCTAGAACACCCTCCCCCCCTCCCCCCCCGTTGCCAATCTCTTTCCCCCCTCCTTCGCCTCCTCCCTTTCGCGCTCCCTCTCCTCCTCCCCTCCCCGAGGGCGCTCTTGCGGGGCCCCTCGGAGCGCTGTGACGGCTCCCCGACCTGGAGCTTGCTTCTGCGCTCTCAGAGCCCTGCTCACTGCGCCGAGCCGAGCGGGGCGCTCCTCTCCGTCGGTGCTGCCCCGCGCGCCGCACACCAGTGCGCGATGCTCTCCCGCGCGAGCTGCGGCGGCCAGCGGGCACGCTTCGGAGGGGCCCTCGGCCAGAGGGGGAGGGCGTGCCCGCAGGGGGCCCTCGGCCAGTGCGTGTCTCGCCCGCCGGGCTTCCACCTCCGCGCTGCGCACGCGCTCCGGCACTCCCGCACAAGGACTCTCTGCTCTGAGCGTGCGCCCTCCGCTTCCCGCGCGCTCCTCCGCCTCCCACCACCCACCGTGCCAAGTTCGGCCACGTGCATCCCACGTCCGTCTTTGAACGTGGCAAGGACTCGCTGCTGCGACTGAGAAGTGTCTCGCCCGCCGTGCTTTCCGAGCCGGGGCAGAGCCACGGTATGCCTCCAGCTGCGGTCCCTCTTGGAGGGACATCGGTGCTCATCGGCGGATCGGGCCCAACTTACCTGCGCCCTTCTGTTGGTCAAAGCTCATGATGGCTCTGGGGCGCTCGAATGCCTCCGTTTGGTCCGGAATTTGACGGGTCTAGTAACCCGAGGGCCCATCTTCGAGTTTTGGCCCCTGGCCTTCATTGACGACGACGGCGACCACCGCCACCACCACCACTACGACCATGACCACGACGACCACGACCACGACCACGACCACGACTATGACCACGACCACGACCACGACTATGACCACGACCACGACCACGACCATGACGACGACGACGACCACGGCCACGACCACGACCATGACGATGACGACGACGACGACGACGACGACGACGACCACGACCACGACGATCCCGACGACGACGACGACGACGACGACCACGACGACGACGAAAGCGACGACGATGACCACGACCACAACCACGACCACGACAGTCGACAACGACGGCCTCGACGATCACGACCACAACCACGACCACGACCATCAAGGCTCACGCCCCTAGTGTTTCGGACCCCGCAGAAGCGGCCTCGCACCTAGAGGGTATAACGCCTGCTTGGGAACGTGACGCCGAGGAGAGGTGTGCCTCCTTCCTGGCCGCACGGGCTTTGGAAAGTGGCCCCGCACGTACATCTCGGCGCCTTCGGCCCATCCCACCACCGTGCCTGAGTTGTGAGTCAGAGTTCTCAGGGATGCTGCTTCGGGTCTCCTCGGAGCGCTCTCGGGGGCCTCTTGGGAGCAGTTCGTGAGCCTCTTGGGAGTCTCTCGGGGGCCTCTTACTTGGGGGCCTCTTGGGGCATCTTGGGAGCAGTTCGTGAGCCTCTGGGGGGCCTCTTGGGTCCTCCTGGGGGCCCCTCGGGGCAATACCCCTCATTTTGGGCGGCGTAAGTGTGCATAATGACCGCCTCTCTGAGTCTGGGCGTGAGGGCAACTCGACAGCCGACCGTCTCGCGAGGCGAGGTGCTGCTCTGGGTCGGTCGGCCGAGGCGGACGTGCGCCTTGTGGGGCGCTTTCGCTCGGTTTGCTCGGTAGGTCGCCTGTCTCCGAGCGAGGCATTCCTGGGGGTCTCTCAGGGGTTTCTTGGGGCCTCGTGAGTGCTTTTGGGTGCTGTCTTGGACCAAGCTTGGCCCCTTTCGGGCCCCCTTGATGTCCTCCTGCGGCTGGGGTCCATCTTGGGGTCTGCCACCCATCGATCCCCGCCTTCACTTCGATTACATCTGGAGATGCCTTTGCGGTCCATGGCTGTCTTGGACTATCGGGGGCCATCTGGGGGCCATATCACCGTCATCCAGGGCCCCTTGGAGCCGTCTTGGTACCATGTCAAGGCCTTGTTGCATTGTTCGGCCCGCGCTCTTGAGCCGTTCTTGGGCCCTCTGGGGCTCTCTAGCAGGCATCTTGGGGCATCTTCCTCGTCGGTGGGCCTCAGATGGCGGGCTGGATGTGTAACCAGCCCCAGCCCCCGGATGTAGATCCAGCGACTGGCCGTCTGGAGGTGTGTCTGGCACGGGCCCCCAGATGTGCTTCCGGCGATTTTCCTTGCGGACGAGAACTGGGGGGGGACAGCGAGGGCTGCAGAAAAGGAGGGAGCCCTTTAGGGCCGCTAAAAGGGGCCCTTTAAGGCCCCACAGGGGTCTCCTCGGGCCCCAAAGGGGTCCCCTGGGGCCTTGCCCCCCCCCCCAGCAAGCGCCGCCCAACTGGTAGTCTTCATGCTCGCTCTCTTCCGCGTGGCTTTGCGCGACGCTCTTTTTGTGGTTGTCGGACGTCCGCGGCTCTCCGGGGCCAGTCCTGGGCGCTCCCATGCGCACGCGCGCGCCTCGCCTCGCGGACAGATCTCACCGTGGGCACCAGGGATGTGGGGATCAGGGGCGGTGGCGGGCTTCCTGGGGGCGGTGGCGGGGGGAGGGCGGGGGTGTGGCGACGAGGGAACGGAGGGTCACATATCAGGAGCGAAAGAAGGACGCACACGTAGAGGAATCCACGCTGGTTTCTAGAGTACGCGCTGCGCGAACCTACGTATCACGCGGCTGGTCTCGCGGACTGGGGGGCCGTGTTCATGTACGTGGTTGGGCGGGATTTTTTTTTTCTGGGTTTCTTCTCCTATGGGCGGAGGCGGGGAGGACGGGGGTGGCGATAAGGGAACAGAGGGTCACAGAGGGAGAGATAGTATACATATCTGTATATATATATATATACACATGTGATACGATAAGACCGATTGCGACACGATGTCAAAAGCTATTAGGCTCTAGCCGCCTAATCAGCCTTGCTTAGCACTTTGGGCCATAGGCCACGTTGGACTCGAAGCTAGCGGAGGAGGGAGGAGCAAGGGGATGGCGAGAGAGGCGAAGGATGAGGGGGATAGGGAGGACGAGGAGAGGGCGTGAGGGAGGAAGCATGGCCAGAGGGAGGGAGGGACCAGTCGAGGAGGGATGGAAGGATGCAGGGACCGGAGTGAGCGAGTAGGGCGGGGGGACGGAGTGAGGGAGCAGGATGGATGGGGGGGGGGCTGTGGTGGGGTTCTGCCGCCGTTAGTGGTGGTGGGGGGCTCTTGGCAATCTCGCGCTCGGGGCCTCCTGTGATCAGGCTGGGCGGGGCGGATCTCGCCAGCAAGGGCGGGGCTACCATGCCTGCGGCGGTGTCGCGGCCTCCGGGTTTCCGTGAACAAAGAATGTGTGGGCTTTTTTCACCCGTTTCCGCCCCCAATGCATTCCTACACTGGTCTGGCTCGAAAGCCGGTTCCGCACAACGATGGGGCCACGAGATCAGATTTGGCATCGTAATCGCAGCGCCGCGAGTCACGCTGTCGAGTGTCGGGCTCCTGGCCTTGCCCCGTGACCAGCACTCCCCCCGGGCAGCCATTTTTTGGCCCAGGAGCTTTGGCTCGAGCCACTTGAGGGCCGAGGCGCTCAGGTCTGCAGCGGGGGCGCAGGCCTTGAGAGAGGCGCAGATCTCGGGTGTTGCCAGGAGTGCCCCTATGATTAGCCCGAGGTGCCACCGGGACTCTCGGGGTGGCCCAGGCGGCCTCCCAAACACGCCTCACGAGGCCCAGGGGGCCCCAGGGGCTCCACAAAGGAGCGAACAGCTGGGGGCACCTTGGGCCAGGGGCACTTCTAGCAACACCCGAATATTAGAAGAAGAGCAAAGGGCATAGGCATACACTTTCGGGGTTCCTCGCGGATTTCTTGGATCGGCGCTGGGTCCCTGGCGCTGGAGGCGCCGCCAGGAGGGCCTAGCGCCGATTCCAAGAAATCTGCACGGAGCTTCGACAGTTCATGTTTGTGGTTTTCTTCCTTCTTCTGCAAATGGGAGTCCAGGGGAATGACGATGGGGAGCTCTTCGACTTCGTGTGGAGCAACGTGGAGACAGCGCCGGGGTTGCGCACGGCCTCCGACGCGCTCTCCCTGGCGCCCTCGGCCGGCGCCGCGGCGCCCGCGATGCGCCGGCTGCGCGGCAAGCAGCCGCTGGCTCCAGGCAGCACCGTCAGCTTCGGTAGCAAACCATTGGAGCCTTCGATACCATCGCGATATTCCGGTTTAGGAATGACAATCAACTAGCGTCGACGAGCGTCGATTTAGCGCTAATCAGCGTCGACCAGCATCGATTAGCGTCGACTCGCAAGAGAGAACACGATGGTATGGAAGGCTCCCATGAGCTGCCACCGAGCCGTCAGCCTGGTCTGGTCGCCCTGCCGCCGCCTGGTGGGGAAGCAGCCGCCGCCGCCGCGGCTGCCCGCTGCAGCGGGTGGGCGGTCGCGCGGTGCGGCCGGGGTGCGCGCGACGGGCGCGGCGATCCGCGGCCACTACGACCGCCTGGGCTTGCGGCGGCGCGCCAGCGCTGCGGAGGTGAAGGCGGCGTACCGCCAGCTGGCCCTGGCCACGCACCCCGACAAGGGCGGCGACCCGCGGCTCTTCCTAGAGATCACGGCGGCGTTCGAGGAGCTCTCTGACGAGGGGCGCCGGGCGGCGTACGACCGCAACCTGGACCTTTTCAAGAGCGGGGACGGTGCGTTCGAGGAGCCCCCCGCGGGCCCTGGCAGCAGGGCGGCGCCCGCCGCCGACGTGGATGCAGCAGGCCAGCGCCACGCGCAGTACGGCGCCGCTCGCGCCATTCTCGAGGGCATGCTGCGCGTGGCGACCGCAGGGTCGGCCGTGGCCGAGACGAAGGCGTGGGCTGCACAGCTGCAGGCCCTGCCAGACGTGGTCCTGGAGGCGCTCTGCGACCTACTGCTGTGCTGCGGCGCCAACAGTTCTAGGGGCGCCAGTGAGGGTGGCGCATGCCCACTGCTTCCAGGCCCTGCGTCTGGGCCCCGGGAAGGCACCTCAGCGAAAGCCAAGACGCCAGCGGCCTTTGCAGGCGGAGGCGGCGGGCGGCCACGCTGCATCCACTGGCAGAAGGGCAGCGGCTACAGCGTTCACGTGTCCTGGGGAGGGCTGACCGTGAGCACGCCAGGGACGCCATCGCTGGCGCAGGCTTTGGACTGGCAGATCGCGCTCGCAGCGGCCCAGGGCGCAGCGCAGTCGCGCCTACGCGCCGCACGCACGCGTGCACCCCATGGCACGCCTACAGACCTGCTGACCGAGTCGGAGCTTGGGGCCGCTTTGGAAGCCGAACCAGGGCTGCGGCCGATCTTCTCCGTGGCCCTTGGGAGGCCTGGCGCTGGCAGCAAAGGCGCGCTGCTGCGCACTCCAGGGGTTCACTGCCTCGCGCTGGCCATGGCCTTCCACCGCCGGATAGCAGCACTGCTCGACGCCCGTGCTCCCGAGGCCGCCCTCCGCCGGGAGCGCGACAGGTCGGTACTGGAATCGAACCGCCACCGGCGCGATCGCAAGGCAGCGGAGAAACGGCTGACGAATGCGGTGCTGAAGGATTCGCGGCGAAATCCGAACCCCAGGACTCGAGCTAAACTAAACAGGGTTTTGGCGATTTCGTGGACTGTTGGAGTTCTGATTCATTTCGCAGCAAAGGCGGAACGAAGACAGAGCGAGGGACCGCAAAAGCAAAACGAAGAAGTAAAACAGTGATTAGCTCGAGCCCTGCCGAACCCTACCCTCGCCGATCAACGATTCAGGCAACTCGACTGGCGGCGGGGGTGTAGGGGTCGGAATGTGTCCAAACACGTGGCGGGAAATCCGAACCCTATTATCTGGTCTTCCACTTATTCAGAAACAGCGATGCTTGGTGGGGGCAGCGCCGAGGTCCCCCACAGTCGACCCCCCTGCGGCGTGCCGGATGTGCCATCCGGCTCCGACCCTCAGATGTACCTCCAGCGGCTGGCCGTCTGGACGCGTCTCCGGCGCGGGTCCCCGGGTGTGATGCCGGCGACTGGCCTTCGGGTGCGAATCCGACGGGTGGCCTTTGGATGCTCCAGGTGTGCTTACAGCCAGATGTGTCGGGGGTGGACAGAACCCCCAACAGTGACACGTCGATTAGTGAATTGTCCGTTTTCGGTTCTCGAGAGGGCGCCGTGGCCGTTATTTTCCAGGCTTGCGCCCGCCAGGTCTGGGCCTCAGGTCGTTTCCACTAAACCACGTTTTACTAAAGGGAGGTCTGTCCATCCCCGAATGTGGAGGGCGGGGGGCCATAAGTGGGGGGCAGCGAGGGCTGCAGCAGAGGGGCCCCGCAGGGCCCCTCCACAGGGGCCCTTCGGGGCCCAGAAGGGGGCCTCTGGGGCCCGAGAAGTGCACCTCGCTTCCCCCACCATTGATGACCCCCCCCTGCCCTCAAGCGACGCCCAATAGACCTTGATGAGCCTGCTTTCCACCACCACCATAAGTTGGAGGGGGGAAGGAGGAGGGCGAAGAGGAGGAGGAGGAGGAGGAGGAGGAGGAGGAGGACCCCCCCCTGCAACTTATGGTGGTGGTGGTGGTGGAAAACACGCCCATCAGACCTTCCTGTCAGAAGGAGGTGCAGCGCCGCTCCTCGGCCCGAGCGGACCGGCGCGGCATCGAGGACGCAGCGTGCACCGCCGGCGGCACGGGCACCCCGACGCCCCGCCCGCCTGCGGGGCCCTGCAGGGCGAGGCGGGGGGGTGCCGCGGAGGGGAAAACCGGCACAGAGACAAGCAAACGCCGATTCGCCTGAAAATATTGGGAAAATATGCACGCCGGTCGCTGAAAGTTGGTATTCTTGGATATCCAGATCCCAATCTACTTCAAGCGCCTTCCTACTTCAAGAATCGAGTGGCGTTCCCTCTTCCCTCCTCGTCAGGGGGCGGGCGGAAGCCCAATCTACTTCCAACGCCGTCCTATTTCATGTTTCTACCCACCTCCTCCGACCGACGGGCAAACGCCGATTCCCAAGACAATGCGGGAAATAAACCATTTCGGAGGTGGATCGGAGACGAGAATCCAGAAGATGTTGCAGATATCGGAGAAACTCAATCCTGGGTTTCTTTCAGGAGGAAAAGAAACACACAGACACAATTAATCGTCGATTCCCAAGAAAATATGGGAAAATATGGGAAGCGGGGGGGGGAAGACAAAAAGCCAGAACATATAGGAAAATAGGGGGAATTCTTTTATGTGTGTGTATTTATTTGTGTGTCCTGGGGCCCCTTCATTCTTGTCAACCGATTCTTGTGTGTCCCCTGGGCCCCTCGAGGTGCGCCCGACGCCGCGGGGCGCCGCGGCGGCGCGGAGCTCGGGCTCGGGGCGCCCGCCGCGGGGCCGGCAGCCCGGCCGGCGGCGCAGAAGCGCCCGCGCGAGCCGCCCGCCCGCGCCGACCCGGCGGCCTCGCCCCTCGCGGCCAGCGCGCGGGCGCCGGCCGCCGCGACGCCCCCGAAGCTGCGCAGGTCAGGGGGAGAAGAAACACACAGACACAATTCATCGTCGATTCCCAGGAAAAAATATGGGAAAATGTGGGAAGTGGGCTGGAGGACAAAAGCCCCGAACAAATATGGGAAAATGTGGGGCACATTTTTATCTGTGTGTATGTATTTGTGTGTCCTGGGGCCCCTTCAGCAGGGCCCAGGGCGCCCGGGCGCCTGGGGAGCCGCGGGGCGCCAAGGCGAGGCAGCAGGCGACGCCCGCGGCCCGGTGCCGCGCCCGCGGCTGAGGCGGGGGCCCCGCCGGGTGATGTGCTCCGGGCGCGTTCCAGCCCAAGCGTGCGTCGATACCGACGCATCGTTCGGCTCCGCGGACAGCGGGCAGCCCGTGTCGGCCCTCGTGGCGCCGCCTGCGTCGTACTGAGGGGCCTCGGTGGACAAGGACACGTTGGCGCCGACACACGTCCTGAGGATCCTCGGCCCGCGGCCGAGGCGGGGGGGGGGGTTCACTGCGTAGGCAGACGAGCCTGAGCTCGGGGAGCTGTCATCCTCACCCCCATCCCCAGACCCCTGTGGAGTCATGAGAAGATCACATCGGGAGGTTTGTCCCTATGTTTGGCCTCTGGAGGCCCTTACCAGGCCTCGGGACCGTCAAAAGACGGCCCAGGAGGAAAAGCCGGTCCTGGCGATTGGGTCGAGACCTTCGTGGTCGACGTTGTGAAAATCTCATGACGTCGGGGGTCTGGGACTCTAGGGCTCCCAGGTGGGGTCCGAGTAGGCGGGTTCGGAGGCTTGCGCTGCATCGCCGATGCATCGGCGATGCGGCTCGATGCAGAGCCCGATTTTTTCCCCACGCCGACGCATCGGCGATGCGGCGCGATCTTCCGCACCACGGGGTTTCAAGAACAACATACTGCCGATGCATACTTTCTCGGAGCTCCGCTCGGATTTTGTTGGGTCGGCGCCGGGCCCCCCTGGCGGCACTTTCGGCGCCGCCCCTGGCACGCTCCGCGTGCCATGGAGGATGGTTCCATTTTGCGTGGACCTCCGAGACACCATGTTTATGCATCTTGTTGCTCCTCACGGGGGTCCATCGGTGTTCGGGCATCCCTCTGTCTGAAGATCGTCGGGACGGGGGGATCCCCCCAGGGGGAATGTAGAGGAGCACAGCTCCCCCAATTGTGGCTGGTAGGCCTGGTCCATTCTCCCCCACGCTCCATCCTCCGTTTTCCACCTCATCCTTCCTCCCCGTGAGGCTCGAGGTAGCCCGGACCGTCGTGCACGCGTGCCGACGCCGCACTTTTGGGGTTAGTGACGGCGTCGTGCCAGTCTCCAGAGGAGGCTGATGGGCAGAAAATGGAGTTGGTTGCTACTGCCTGCCATTTGCATGCGTGCGTCCTAGACTCCGGGCACGCGCGGCGTTGTTTTGGCTGGACAGGACGCTGAAATTCCCGAGAGGGCGACGGGATGCCCTTGACTCGACTCGGCTGGAGTGCTTACGCCGATCTGGGTTGCAGGGCCGCTGCGTCACTTGCAGCCCGTCTTCGTGTGCCGGGGCCGCGGGAGCGGAGTGGCCGTGGAAGCTGAGGGATGTCAGGAGGTAGAGATGTGGAGAGCGGAGTAAGGAGGAGGAGGAGGAGGAGGAGGAGGAGGAGGAGGAGGAGGAGGAGGACCAGTGTAAACCCAAGACGCATCTACGATTTTGTCAGAAGTCCTCCCTCCAAGTTCCTTTTCAAAATAGGCCCCTACCAGTATTCACTTTCACTGAAGGAAGTGCCCCGGTGGAAGGAAATCGTTTGAAAATCCTGAACTGCGCCAGAACTCAAGTTCTGGGACTTTTCACGCCGCGCATC